ATCAAAGATATACATGGTAGTACGATAGCAAGTTTAAAATTACTTAAAAATCAGAATGCATAATTTTAAAATTTATTAAGCATGATCATTATGTATGATATTAAAACATGGTTTCAAAATATTTAATATTTTTATTACATAATTTCATCATTATGCATCATCATATTTTTAAATTCTAACATGCACAATTTTAAAACTATACATTTTATTTTTCATGCATGATACAAATAAATCAATCATCATTATGAGTATATTATACATAATATTCAAGCATTCATGATACATCATTTTGGCATTATGATCATAGCTTTTCAATGATGGTATCTAAATGTCAAAGTTCATTACATCATATCATGCATGATCATTAACTTCTCATTTGTATTTCATACATAATTTCATTTCATTACATTAGTAACATCAAGAAGAATTAATTGGGTGATGAGATAAATATTTCATTAATACACGGAATTGTATAAAAATCATATCATGAGTGTTTCATGCATTCATATCATCACATGAAGAATACCAAAAAGGATTTTGGTGATAAGATACATAAATAATGAATATAAATTTTGAATATCATGAGATATATTATGATTTTTTTTAATAACTCAAATAGTGAAAAGAAAGAATACAATCTTGATTTATAAAATAAATTTTCAAGTTATAATTTTCAAAAATCAAGATAAAAATCGTGGTTAGATGAAACTCATTCAAATCATCAAAATGATCAAAATCACTTTTAAGATGATCAAATAAATTCATTAAATTCAATAAGATAGAGAAAAAGAATTTTTAAGAAAAATACTTTTCTCTTTTTAGTTGTTTCAATTTATGTGATTGATTTTATATTAGAATGCTCAAATATTTGTTCTTATATTAAAATCATACATCAACGTTTAGGATCAATAAATAAATTTAGTCATGAAAACCACCAAGATCAATAAACTACAAAAATTATTATTTATAACTTCAAAATCTCATGCATAAAATCGTCAAATCATGGTATCAAAATTTCAATATTTTCATTACAATTTTATGCATCATTAAGTATACAATTGTCAAGCATGACACTTACACTATTTCATATAAGCATGCCTATTTCATTTATGTCAAATCAAAATATACATCATTTTTTAAACCGAAAAAGCTACATTTATTATCGTGAAAATCAATAATCCATAAATCATAAAAATCACTATGCATTATTTCAAAAGAAAACTCATTAAGCATGATCATTATGCATTACTTCAAATCAAACATGATTTCATTTAATCAAAATCGAGAAATAACAATGGAAATCAACATGATACATATTATTACTTCTTAGCCACATATAGCATGATTTCATAAGGCATTTTTAATCAAAATTATTTTATTTATCATAAACATGTAATTTTCATGATTATGTTCAAAATTACTAGAATGATAAGCATGATTCCTAATTTTTATATTTTTAATTTTTTAAACATGTAATTTTCAAAAATAATTATTCTAAGAAAAAAATGAATCATGTAAAACATCAAGTAATTTCAAAATAAATTAAGGGGGTTTCGATTACCTCATCGTTGAATGCGGTTAAGGTGTAGTTTGCCACCTCACCTTTTTTTATTTTCTCCTCGTCTTCGGAGGAGCTCGATTCATCCCAATTTTTGTTCTTCTTCTTGCATTCAAAGCAAGTAGTTCCGTTCTTTTTGTTTTTTAATTTTTGTTTCATTTGTAGTTTAGGTTCACCATCACTTGAGCTTATGCTCGAGTGGTCTTCAAATGTTCTATGTCCCAAATCCTTCCCGTTCTTTGGAAAGTTATTCTTGAGTTCCATTTTTGCTACATTGTTCATTTCGTAGGTCATTAGAGACCCAATAAGTTCTTCAAGAGGAAATGTTTTAAGATCCTTGGCCTCTTGAATGGTCGTAACTTTTGGATCCCAACTCCTTGGAAGGGATCTTAAAATTTTAGTTACTAGTTCAAAGTTAGAAAAACCTTTACAAAGAGTTTTGAGTCTATTGATAACATCCGTGAAACGGGTATACATGTCTCCGATGGACCCACTTGGTTTCATCCGGAAAAGTTCACAAGAATACACAAGAATGTTGATTTTCGACTCTTTCACTTGGCTAGTGCTTTCATGAGTGACATCAAGAGTTCTCCAAATATCAAAAGCCGAATCACAAATCGAAACGTGATTAAATTTATTTTTGTCAAATACACAAAATAAGGCATTCATAGCCTTTGCATTTAAAGCAAAAACCTTCTTCTTTGATTCATCCTATTCGCTCATTGAAAGAGAAGATTTTTGAAATCCATTTTCGACAATATTCCAAAGCTCAAAATCCATGGAAATAAGGAAGATCCTCATACAAATCTTCCAATACATGTAATCCGACCCATTAAACATAGGTGGACGTGTAATAGAGTGACCCTCTTGCATGTCGGAGTAAGTCATCTCTCTTGGGCATTAAACCAAATTTGAGAGTGAGCTTTGCTTTAATACTAATTGTTATAATTGGAGTGGCACTAAGAAGGGGAGGTGAATCAGTGCAGCAGATTAAAACTCGTAAGTTTGAAATTGATTTCATAAATATGTAGAGATTTCGATTTGATGAAGGATGACTTAGCTAAAATAGCTCGAGTAAATGTAGTCAAGAGTAGGGAGATGAAAACCGAACTATTTGTAACTAAGTAAAGAAATGGTTCAAAAAATTAAACACTCACATATTCAAGGAACACCATGATGTATAGTGGTTCGATCAAATGACCTACATCCACTTTCAAAGCCTTCTTCGATGAGGCTCCCAACTTCCACTAGCAAATCACTTTGAAGGGGAAGGACTAAATACCCCTCTTACAATCTTCTTATAAGTGGTTCATACTCTTACAGATTTTTCAAAAAGAAAGAGGGAGGTGAACACTTAAGCTATTGAAAGCAAGACTTTGCTAGAGCTTTTTCTCACTTTCTAACTTGTTAAAAAGGTGTTCTCTCTATTGAGAATTGAGGGATATTTATAGGCCCCAAGAGGATTCAAATTTGGGCTCCAAATTTGAATTGCTTTTGGGTTTTTCGGTGCTGGCGGTGCCATCGCCTATCAGTGGCGGTGCCACTGCTTATTAGTGTCTGACACTGATAGTGTACTAGCGGTGCCACCGCCAGACCTCTCGGGTTTTGGGCGGTGATATCGCCTAGTCCAATAGTGTATTGACAGTGCCACCACCGGACCTCTCGGGTTCTGGGTGGTGCCACCGCCCAGTCCGACGGTGCCACCGCCCAATCCAGCAGTGCCACCGCCTAGACTATTCCAGCTCACTGGTTGGGCTCTAAACTTAGCCCAAACCAGTCCAAACTCGGGCCCAATTGGCCCCTAACTGGGTTATAGGATTAACCCTTAATCCTAACCCAAATTATATGCAAACTACGAAATTAAGACATAGCCCTAAGCAAATTTTAAGTGGCAACGTCGAGTTACCTTTTGACGAGCTTTCCAATGAATTTCCGGTGGACTTCCGATACACCCTCAGATTTCTTCCAACGGACTCCCAACAGGCTCCTGGCCTTGTGGCGAGTTCAATGAGTCTTTGGCAAGTATCTGAACATTCTCGATGATCTTCACGAACCTCCGATGATCTTTCCGGTGAACTTCCGAAAACTTCGACAAGTCCCCGATTCCTTCTCGGTTGGTTCCGGCAGTACTTCCGATGATTTTTCGAACTTTTGGCGAACTCTTGAACACCCATCGAACTTGACTCTGGTAAACTTACTTTATGTTTTCAAGCTATCGTAGTTAATTCTGTACATATAAAATATACTTCGATCTAGATAATTAATCCTAAGCATCTAATCAAGTTGTCCAGCATGTCATTGGTTCCTCGACGCTTCGTCCGATTCTTCGTCGCATCGTCCTCTCCTACGGCCTATTGCCCAATCGGCTAGTTGACTTTGCAACTCCGATATCCTTGGCGCAATGTTTGCTCTTCTTAGCTCGATGCCCGAATCCACGACTCGAAGCCTTATGTCGATACATCGATCGATCCACCGGTCCGACGTCCAATCTTCTGACATGTTCCTCCAGCCCAACATGATTTTCTTGCTTTAATTGTCTTATCTTGATCGAAGTATCATACGTCACTCAAAACGCAGATTAAAACATAAACACATATTGATTGATTTCATCATCAAAATTTGAGATTTAACAAGAATCAATCAGGTAAATCAAAAATAAGATCACATAATCGATACTTTAATACACATTTCGCTATCATATTTGATATAATTGGTTTTATTAGATAAATGTTTTTTCTAAAATTAATTAAAAGATAGTTTTTCTAATGTGATTTATAAGATTAGATGAGTTTATTACTATTAATTTGAATTAAATCACAAATTCTATCTGTCAAATATCATGTGTAATCTGCATCAACGACATGAAATAAGCGACTTCGCAAACACCCAATCCGTTATCAAATTGTAGATATTTTTCCATACATCACTCAAACGAGATGGTCCAATCAAATTCATCAATGTGAGTTATACGAGAGGATGATCATTAGACATAGATAAAACATTCGACCGGCCAAATTTTAGATTACCTGTTAGATCAAACCATGGAGCTATAATATATTTTAAAAAATGAATTATAATTATTTTATAATACTAAAAGTATTTAAAAGAAAAAATAGCAAAAATGCGGGGATGGTCCGCTAAAGTTCACTGCGGGGAGTTCTGGGGAAGCAACGTTGTAAGCTGCGGTGCCCCAAATCCGACGGCTGGTATTCTTCGGCTTTCGCAGTCGAGAACAACTCCGGTCGTCCGCCCTACCGATCGATCCTCCGCACTACCGACGCTCTCTTCCTCCGGCGGTCTCTCTCTCTCTCTCTTAATACTTTCATTCACCGCCACCTCCTTCCATCTACTAACCACATTCTTCTCTATCTCCTCTCCTGATTAGCTTTCGTTTCTCTTCTTCTTCTCCTATTAGATCCGGCCATGGCGAAGTTTAGTGCGTGTTTGGCCGTCCTGATGGTGATCGCGGTGGCCGTAACGGCGGTGGAGGCGTCGAAGTCGAAGCACAAGGCGTGCGACAAGGGGTGGGAGTGCAGTGGCAGCATCTACTGCTGCAACGAGACTATTAGCGAGTACTTCGTGGTGTACCAGTTCGAAAATCTCTTCAGCAAGCGCAACGCCCCCGTCGCCCACGCCGTCGGCTTCTGGGACTACCAGTCCTTCATCATCGCCGCCTCCGTCTACGAGCCGCTCGGGTTCGGCACCGCCGGCGACAAGCAGACCAAAATGAAGGAGGTCGCCGCCTTCCTAGGCCATGTCGGCAGCAAAACCTCTTGTAAGAAAGATCCCTCCTTTCCTTCTTTCCTCGATCGTCCCTCCTCTTATTTCTTAATGATAAATTCTCCCTATTTTCCCTGAATTTAGGCTTCAAAATCCAATATTTAGACGTATGGTTCATCATAATCTGTTTATTTGTTGCAAATTACTTCAACGTATGAGTATTTTGGGAGTGGAAATCGATGCGGAATTTCGAATCAGAGCAATAACTAGGTATTGGAATCATGGGGAAGCAAAAAAAAAAAGACATACGCACACGCATTGTCAGCAATGGTTATTTTTGCCTGATAGGGCATATTTTGGTAACCTGCCCTCCAACCACTATTCACAATCACATCAGCGTCAAGGTCAACATACTGGACTGCGCCGACCTGCAAAAGTCGGGATGGCGCCGACCTGCAAAAGTCGGGATGACACCAATCAAGTACAGCGCCGTTAGGTCGGGACGGTGTTGACCAAGTACCATGCCGTCTCGCAAAAGTTGGGATGCCACCAACCAAGTACAGCACCGTAAGATCGGGACGGTGTCGACCGAGTATCGTGCTGTCCCGCTAAAGTTGGGACGGTGTCGGCCAAGTACAGCGCCGTAAGATCGGGATAGCGCCGACCGAGTACCGTGCCGTCCCGCAAAAGTCGGGACGATGCCGACCAAGTACAGTACCATCCCGTAATGGTCGGGATGACAGCGAGTACGACACCACCGCACAACGTCGTGATGCCAAGGACACCCAACATTCGCCCCAAGAGTAAGTCTGTCGCTCGGAGGGTCGGCAACCATAAATATGACAGGTACAGTTGGTCCCCTAGCGGAGGGATAAAAACCCATCGCGGGCCTGACGACAGGTGGTTCTTGGCTCATTTCCCACCTAATTCTAACAAAATCTTCGGAGGGGTCGAAGTCGGGAGCCCCCTTTTCGACCCCGACTTGTGTGCAGGGACTGGTGATAAAGTGGGAGGCAGCCAGCCAATTTGAGGTTCAAGGCCTTGAAGCCAGAGCCCGAGCCTGACCTCACCGGACGACGATCCCCGTTGCTCGAGCGCCGACGTGGATGATCTTGCGCACCCGGGACTGAACCAAGCCATGTTGACTCCCTTTGCCACGGCGTAAAGGAACACTATCATTTTGGCGCTAGAAGGAGGGCCCGATGACGCAGGACCAAGCCCACCCAGGCAACACGACCGAACACTTGGGCAACGAACGCCTCCCGACCCACTCGACTCCTGGGCTCGTGGAGCAACATCCGCCTCCCCCCGAGCAGGAGACCAATGGCTCCATAGCAACCCCGGGGCACTATTGGCGGCTGTTCACTGACCCGGGGTTATTGCCCCCGGGAATGGCTACCACTCAACCTTCCATCTCTACCGAGGCATTCCTCAGCCTGGCGCACCAGGTCCAAGTTCTGGCGGGGATGGTGCAAACCATCGTTCCCCTTGCTCCTCTCCCCGTACAACTCTCGACGCTCCCGCTGACGCCACAGCAGGAGTTGCCGCCCCCCTGTTTCCACGCAGCCTCCACCCTCTCCTGCACCACCCTTGGTCCCCGGGTGGCTCGCGACGACGAACGTCGCCTCGTCACCCGAATGGCGGTTGAGCTCGAGGCCGATGCCTGTGTACGGTACGCGAAGCCTCCAACGCCCCCCCTTCGGCAGTCCCGAGCCTGACACACTGTCGTCCGACTCGGTGACTCCCTCCGGGCACAGCTGCGATCGGTGAATCGACGTCTGGATGAGGTTCAACGAGAGTTTCACAAGTCCAAAGAGGAGCTTGGAGAGTCCTCTTCAGGAGGATTGCCTTTTACACCTGAAATTCAGGACAAGCCAGTTCCTCCAAGCTTCTGTCTCCCTGTTCTCGAAGCCTACGACAGCGGCTTCGACCCGACGGAACATGTCGTCGCCTTTTGAGCCCAGATGGCCCTATACGGCACTTCAGACGCCCTCATGTGCTGGGCGTTCCCTACCTCGCTCCGAGGCCCAGCTCGGATATGGTACAGTCGACTCAGACCATCCTCGATCACCTCCTTCGACTAGTTGGCCAAGGAGTTTGAGCTCAATTTCCTGGCCAGCGTGCGAGCGGAGTCGTCCGTAGCTCTGCTTCTCGGTCTCAGCCAAAAGGACGACGAGCCCCTTTCTCATTTTGTGACTCGCTTTGCCACTGAAATCCGAGGGCTGCCCGATGCTCATCCCTCTTTGATAATGCAAGCGTTCTTAATAGGACTTCGGCCTTCCAGATTCTTCTGGTCGCTGGTCGAGCGGTCGTCGACGTCTATCCCCGAAATGCTCCAGCTTGCTAACCAATACGTAGCCACTGAAGCATTGATGACGGGGAAGCGTGAGGAGCATAAAAGGCTACGAGCAGAATCGACCCGAGGGCAAGCCCTGGCGTCGCCCAGAAGAACGATCGACCGACCCGACGCACCACTCCCGAGGCCCCCACTCCCGCCTTTGAATTCCTCTAGGACGGAGATATTCTTGCAGATCAGGGAGAAAGGACTCTTGAAGGCCCCTAACCTGATGAAGGCACCACGCGAGCTCAGAGACCGCTCGAAGTATTGTCGGTTTCATCGTGACTACGGACACGACACCGAGGAGTGTCGCGACTTGAAGAACCAGATCGAAGAGCTCATATGCCGGGGGCACCTGGGCCACTACCTTAGGAGGCCGTGCGAATTGTCGCCCCGTCCTTCGGGTCCGATTGAGAAGCAGATTGATGTGATCAGCAGCCGTCCGGCGTCAGGGGGAGATATAGCATGGCGAGGCGAAAGGCTTATGCTCGAGCAACCATTGAAAAACGCCCGAGACAACCCCAAGTGCCCGAGATCACCTTCTCGGCAGGAGGAATCGAGTACCCGGAGCATGACGACGCGCTAGTTATCTCGGCCAGGATCGCCAATGCTTGGGTTAAAAGGATCATGGTGGACACCGAGAGCTCCGCCGATGTCCTATACTTCGACGCCTTCCGGAAGCTCGGCCCGACCAAGGAAGACCTCGCCCCAATTCAAACGATGCTTACCGAGTTTACAGGTGATTCTATTTCAGCTCTCGACACGACCGTCGTACCAGTCACCCTAGGCGAAGACCCACAGGTCAAGACAGTCATAGTAACCTTTATGGTGGTGGAACTCCCCTCGGCGTACAACGCCATCCTGGGCCGACCAACCCTCAACAAGCTCAGAGCGGTCATCTCCATATACTATCGGGCGATAAAATTCCCAACTCGAGCAGGGGTCGGGGAAGCAAGGAGCAATCCTCGGGAATCCCGACAATGTTACCTGGCGGTCGTCACATTACCCAAGAAGTCGAGGCGCGAGCATCCTATCGCCGACCCTCGGGACGTCGCCAAGCCAACACAACGCCCCGAACCGATCGAGCACACCCAAGAAGTCCCTCTATGTCACAACCGACCAGATAGGATCGTCATGGTCGGGTCGGGGCTACCGGAGGAGGAAAGAGAGCAACTCGTCAACTTGCTAGTTGAGAATGCTGACGTCTTTTCCTGGTCACCAGCGGACATGCTCGAGATTGACCGAACAGTCGCGCAACACCACCTGAACATCAGTCCCCAAGTGCGACCGGTGAAGCAGCGACCCCGAAAGCTGGCACTCGACCGACAAAAGGCTATAGATGAGATAGAATGACTATTGGCGGCGGGATTTATTGCAGAAGCAAAATATCCTCGATAGCTGTTGAATGTAGTCCTCGTTAAAAAGCCTAATGGAAGTTGGAGAATGTGTGTTGACTACACCGACCTCAACTGAGCATGCCCGAAGGACTGCTATCCACTGCCGAGGATCGACCAGCTGGTCGACGCAACCTCGGGCCACGAGCTCCTCATGTTCCTGGACGTGTTCTCGGGGTACAACCAAATCGAGATGGCACCGGAAGACCAGGAACACAGCTTTCATCACAAACCTAGGAGTTTACTTCTAGATGGTCATGTCGTTCGGGTTGAAGAATGCTGGGGCAACCTACCAAAGGATGATGAAAAAGGTGTTCGCCCGCCAGATCGGGAGAAACATGGAGGTGTATGTTAACGACATGATCGTCAAGAGCAAGTCCACCCGAATCCACTTGACGGACCTTACCGAGACATTCAGAACATTGTGGGAGTGCGACATGCACCTCAATCCCGCCAAGTGTGTCTTCGGGGTCAGCTCAGGAAAATTCCTCGGCTTCATCATCCACTGAAGGGGAATAGACGCCAACCCAGAAAAAGTTCAAGCTATCATCAACATGCAGCCTCCCCGTTCGGTAAAGGAGATCCAGCGCTTGACTGGGAGGCTCGCCGCCCTGGCTCGATTCCTGTCTCGATCAAAAGACAAATGTCTCCCCTTTTTCCATATCCTAAAAAGCCCGAAGAACTTCGAATGAACTTCAGAATGTCAAGAGGCGTTTGGCCGACTAAGGGAGCATCTGGCGCACCTACCCTGACTTGCTACAGTCACCTCGGGAGAGCCACTCAGCCTCCACCTCGCGGCTTCCAAACACGCCGTCAGTTCCGTCTTGACCCGGGAAGATTCTGGAGTGCAGAAGTCGATCTACTACTTGAGCCACGTTCTCAGTGGGCCCGAGACGCGATACCAACCGGTATAGAGACTGGCTCTAGCACTCGTTTAGATAGCCAGGAAGCTACGACCCTACTTTTAGGCCCACCCGATCAAGGTAATAACTGACCAGCCATTGCGACAAATCTTATCTAAATTCGATGTGTCCGGACGAATGCTCAAGTGGTCAGTTGAGCTCGAGGAATTCGACATACAATATATCCCGAGGACGGCCATCAAGGCCCAGGCTGTCATGGACAAACTTCTAAACGAGATGTTTGATGTAATGCTTATGTATATCCATATCTTTTGGTATGTTCATGCTTTGCACAACATGTAGAGGGATGGTCGAAGGCTTAATAGCCCCATTGTAGTTGGGTTTGGTGGCCGTTTTAGGCTTGTAAATAAAGGTTGTATCATGTGGACACTTGTGAGAGATTTTCGGTTTGTAATGGACC